TTTATTTATTTTTATTTCTTTTTTAAGGGTAAAATATGTAATAATAGAAATTATTTCTAAATTTTTAATTTAAAGATAATTCAAAAATGTTTATTATTTTAGAATAGAGAGAATAAGTTTTTAAAATTTTTACACGTAAAAGATTTTTTTTTAATTTTAATTTGATAAAAAATATATTATAATTTTAATTAATTAACAAATTAAGCTTACAATCTTAATTATTTATCATTAATTTTGATTAATTATAATTTAGTCCATTTTAAGGACTTAGTTGACTAAATTGTTGTGGAATGGCTTGAATATGAAACTTAATTGAAAATACTGTGAAGTTTTTGTGGTTAAAGTATAATTTTCAAAATTACATATTCCAGGTAAGTGCTGATTGGTGCCACATAAGCATTGACAGGGGGATTTCATAAGAAAAAAAAAAAAAAAAACTAATTGAATTTCAATAGATAAATGAACCTGATGTATTTTTAAAGTTTATAGATGAATTTGAAAGAAACTTAACATTTTAAACTACAATGATAAGAGAATATTAGTTAGTAGATCAAAAATTAAATTTAACCTAAATCTACTAACAAAATCTTCAATAAGTCACTCTAAATTTAACATATAACATTTGAGAATGTGAGTTATCCGTTATAATTTCAAGAGGAGAGAAAGAACTACAGCTGCCTCAGAGCATTACTGTGCAGATGCAAACAAAAGTAGAAAAAATTAATTACTATTATTTACATTGGTTTTTACAGTGAAAAAAAAAAAAAACACTCCTCACATCGTCGGTGGGATGTTGGCGTTCTTTCTCTTCTTATGTCTGCCTCTATCAACAAATCTCTGTCGATATATCTCTACCATCTTCACTAGCCACCATGGTTTTCCTGTTTTGAACATAATGTATCCAAGGCTAAGTCCGAACACCAGTCCGCAACCATAACCCGATAATACAAACTTCCAATCGAAGAAAGCTGCAGTGTCATTTTTTTCATCAAATTTTGAGGGAGGTACTTCTGGTGTTGTAACATTTCTTTGTCAAAGGGAATCTGCACAACCCAGAGTTCCCAATATAGGAATCATTTGAGAAAGTATCAAACTGCTTCCCTTGAGGAATGTGACTACAAGTTCATTGTGTGAAAGGTTCAAAAACTGACAGGAATGTTAGGTTTGTCAACTGCTCAGGAATCCTGCCTTCAAGCTTGTTTGACGAGAGATCCAGTGATTCAAGTTCTGTCATTTTCCCTAATGATGATGGAATTTCACCAGTGAGACTGTTTTGAGAAAAGCTTAGCAAATGAAGTGAATTGAGTTCTCCCAACTCTTTAGGAATCAGTTCGTGAAATTGATTGCTCAAGAAATCAACAATTATGAAATCCTGGATCGAAGGATGAGAACTTGTAGTCTTGGAAGAACACCTAACCAACTGGGAAAGGTGTCATTCAAGTAGTTTTTCCCCACATCTAGAACTTCCAAGGAACTACAATTAACTAAAGATGGTGGCAGCCTCCTTTCCAACTGGTTGCCATTTAGGCGAAGAGTTCTCAACTCATAGCTGTTAACAAATGAATTGGGGATTGTACCATGGAAGTTATTCATCTGCAGATCCAAGATGAAGAGATGCGGTAAGTATCCAAAACATACTGGAATTTTCCTTCCCAAACTATTATTAGCTAAGGCCAATAGTTTGAGAGAAGTCAAATTGCAAAGAGAGGAAGGGATTTCTCCTGTCAAATTATTCCATGAAGTTAAGGGATGGGTAAATGTCACGAGAATGGGAAGTGTTCCTTTAGTAAGTTGAAACGGAAGTAAACAATGCTCAGACTTTTAAGAGTTAATAGCTCTATACCTGTCAGGAAGTTATAAGAAATGTTTAAAATGAACAAGGATGACATCCTATCTATTCCCCATTTATGAATTTGACCTGAAATCTTATTCTTAGAAATATCCAAATATAACAAACTCCTTTCATTCCTTAAGAAACTTGGGAACTTGTGTCCCTGAAATTTTTATTTTATTATGAAAATCATTTATTAATTTTTAAATTTGTTTCAATTCCATCTAGTCTAACGTAATTTCATTAACTAAATTGACTAAATTTCATCTTTTTATTGTGTGATATTACATAAATTACCACATGGCTGAAACCTGAAAATGAAAGGAAAAATTTTTGTTGTTTCTTTAGAATTAAATCTTAATATAACAAATTATTTTATATAGTGAAAATTATTTGAACAAAATTTCCTCCCTCTTTAAGCCCCTGCACGTGGTTGTTTACTTAACAACTTATGTGACACTCATAATCAAAGATGAATTCTGATGCTGAAACTAATGGAGTTGTGTTGAATTATACTAAATTAAAATAATTTTAAAAATTAATAGATGATTATTTTTTAAAAAATAAAGATTTTAAACTAAAATAAAAAAATCAATAATTAATAACTAATTCATTAAATTAAGTCCTGTATTTTATTGTGTTGCAGTGGTAATTATAGAATTTCTTGTCTTTTACCATTTTAAGAATATATAAAATTTTAATTTAAAAATTAATAAAAAAATAAAAAATTATTTAAAATTAATTAAAAATTAAAAATTTGATGTTTTCTGAAAAAAATTATGGAAAGTATTGCGAGGAAAACCTTAAATGGTCACAACACCAGATTTGTTGTTTCCCAACTCAAATTAGTCATTATTTGCTCTTTGGTCCTTTCTGCCAATCTACGACTCTAGATCTGAGAAACCAAGAAGAAAGAGACACATATTCGCTGAAACCTTTTGAAAGTTTACAGCAGGAGAAGTGGAGAAGAGGAGCTTCTGCAATTTTTCCTATATTTTCATTGTCTTTTTCAGTTTATATTTTAATTAAATTATCTTTGGTAAAATGGTGCGAAGTCCACTTGTTGGACCCAAACAAATTTTTTCCCAACTTAGCACCACACAAACAAGGCTTAACGGGGTGACAGAGGGTAAATTTAAATAATAATTAGACAAAGAGTTAATAGGAAAAATTTAATTTTAAATGTATAATATTTTAATATATCCAAATGATATGTTTAAATATAAATGTATAGTATTTTAATATATCCAAATAATATGTTTAAATATACGTTTATTTGAAATTTATTTTTTTATTAAAGTAAGATAATATGTTTTAAAATACATATATTTTAAATATATATATTTCAAATACACATTTCAAATACAAATATATGTTCTCAAACACAACCTAAATTTTTAGCCAAAATTTTCAACAAACATTGAACATGAAATAATAATTCACATAAAAAGACATAACAATCTCAGAAAGAAAGGGCAATTGCCTGCAGCTTCTGCTGCCAACTAATTAAAATCCTGCACACATTATTTTTGTCAGATCTTCTTGGAAGAAGAAAGAAAGCCAACTGCCTTCAGCTTCTGCTGTTGGAAAGAAAGCTAAATTACAACAATTATTACGACTATTCTATCCATTGTTATGCTTAGAAGAAGGAGCACATATAAAAAGAGGCTGTAGAAACTCACCGAAGAGCGTTGGTTGGGGTTTTGGGTTTTTCTCTTCTTACGCCTGCAGATCCATCTTCCAACAAATTTCTCTTGATATTTCTCCACCTTCTTCACCACCTACCATCGTTTTGCTGTTGTGAACACAATGTATCCTAGACTAAGTCCCAATACCAGTCCACACCCATAGCCTGCCAATGCAAACTTCCACTCAAAGAGTGCTGCAGAGTCATTTGCTTTGTCAAATTTTGATGAAGGTGCTCCTAGTTCTTCCTCGTTGTGGCATTTCTTTGTCAATGGAAATCCACACAACCCATAGTTCCCAACAACTCAGAGTTCCCAATGTTCCTACAGCATTTTTGCCATTTAGCTACGTTTTTTTTTACCTATGCTCACTATTTCATGGGTATAGGGTTCTATTAGTTATGATTTATGATTTGTGGGTATATAGACAAGTTATAACTACATCCACAAAAAAACTTTAGGAAAAATTACACTATACTTATGCAATTTCAATTGGTGTAAGTATATAAAAGAACTATTAATTACAATATGTAGTTCGTGGGTATATGAATTTAAAATTTATTTATAGACATAAAAAACCGTAGATATACACAAGAGATATACCTTCAATCACATATAATTATGGGTACAACACTAACTTATAGCTATGATTTTTGCCAATTGTAAGTATATACCCACTACCAAAAATTAATAATAAATTAACTACTATTTAATTAATGCTTTTGACTAATGTTTCCATGTACATAAGTTCAATTTCCCCTTTTTTAACAATGCGCTAGAAAAAAAAGAAAAAAGAAAAAAAGAAACTTAGTTCGAAATTGAAGAAAAAAAGTATCAAAAATATATGAAGTACTTGAAATCATATGCTACATTTTTTTAACAAATAAAAGAAAAAAAGATAAACAACCTTGTTAATAAACATATCAATTCATCAAAAAGTTAACAAAAAATAAAATCTTTATATAACTAAAAATGATTATTATTAAAAAATGTAAAAAGTTTTCATTCTTTGGGTGGAAAAGGATTTCAATGCATAATAATTAAAGTTTTGTGATTAATTAAATAAATATATTTTTTAAATTAAGGGACTAAATTGCAAGAACAATAGTTCCTTTTGGATCTAAATGAATGAATCTTAAGTTATAGTATATAAAAAGCTAAGTGACCAAATCTGCTATTTTACCATTGAAGGAATTGCAAGATGGGGTGGAAATCCGACACCGGTATGGTGTCGACACATTCTTCGTGGTGTCAGCACCATGCGATATGAAGAATTTATAAAAAATAATATTTTCTGTAATGCATAAGATTTATTATAATCACATCTAGCTTTTTAAATGATTTATTATAAATGGTCATCTCTTGCTTCAGTGCATGTTCCATCCAGATCAACACTCATACCACCATTAATATCAGTGTTTGCAGCATGCATACCAAATGCATCACTCAACAAACCATGCATGTCATAAAGAAAACCCTCATCTTATTTGTTAATTTCAACCTCAGGTGTTGATGATCCAACAGCCTCACCATGCAATCCCCAGTTGACATAGCCCCTAAGAAATCCATTCCATATTATATGATCAAAGACATCCTGTGGGTACATAGACTGCCCGTTAACACATATCCTACAGGGACATGTGATTTTTCCATCTTCATCTAGGTGGTTTGAGGCAAACAAAATGAATCTCATAGCACCTCGGACATATGTGAGGGAGGCCCTTTGTTCGATATTTATCCACGACTTATCAACTGATGTAATATTACCAACTGTAATGAGAACAATAAAGAATACAATCAACTTAAATTGTAGAAAAAATATCGTTTAATACAAGGAAAGGTGCTGGGCATGCAAGGAAAGTTTGCCCCTAGAAAGAGAGCAGCTTTTTTATGGCAAATGGTGCAAGATAGATGTTCAACTAAATTAAATTTACTAAACGGAGGTATTTTACTGAATTTGGAAATGGCTAGGTGCTGGGAATGCAAGGAGTTAGTTGAAAGCTCTTCTGACCTTTTTTTTTTAACAAACTTTTTTAATTCAGAGGTTCTTCAGAAGGGATGGGATGTGGTTTCATTGGCTTGTGTTTGGTCCATATGGCAGGTGAGAAGCAAGGTTGTATTCCAAGGAGAAGAAGCTACAGCATACCATAATTTTTATTTAATTCAAACTAGGTCCTTAAAACTGGTATTACAGACAATACTACATCAATAGAAAGTTGAAAATAATATAAAGTAACAAAAAAGATGTGAACACCAGAGCACATCCCATTTCATCAAGAAAGTTAACAAAAAAAACAATGTAAAACTATAAGAGCTCCCTCATTCATCTAAAATACACATAACAGCATTTGAGAGTTTTTCTTCAATCTCACTTCTGCTTCAAAAATAAAGATTCATATATCCAGATGTCTTTTAGGGTCTTTTGTTTTTTTCACTATTTCTCAAATTCTCAAATGCTATATATTTCTTGCTTTTGTCCAAAAAACTCGTTGAGACATCGATCTTTTATACAAGTGGTGTCTGATTGTGTTCATCAAGAGGGCAGGTGTTATAAAATCCCACAGCATAATCTTTTGTCTTCTTTTTGGGTCAAAAAGAGAAACTTTTTTTTGGACATTATAAAGAGATAAAACAATTAGAACAGGAAGGGTCTCAGACTCTATTATCCTGATGTTGAGCCAGCTTTTATAAGGAAATTGTCAACTAGTAGGGTGAGAACAACCAACTTGCATCCCACTTTAACCTGACCTCAGCTTCCACTTTAACCAATCTTATTTGCATGCACTGTTTAGACAGTTTTTGTTGGGTGAACATGAGGGATGAAAGGAATGAAAAACAGGAAAACAGCGTACTCTGTAGTTGCTTCCCCTGTTTTGCTTTAGACATTTTACCACCTTAATCAAATCATGCAAGTAATTTTCCTTTTAAATCATACTAGGTAGATAAGACATTTTTCTTTCATGTGTTTTCAACTACAGCAACATTACTATATCAGTGTGGGGCATTATGATGTGGACTACAGACCATCAGTGTTGTAATGTTATAATATTTTTATTCTATTAAATTGAGTCATGACTCAAGCCTCTACTAGCTTAACAACTTATCAAAATAATATTCAGACAATTAAAATTTAAACCATGTAAAACTATAAGAGCTCCCTTATTCATCTAAAATACACATAACTAGCAACTGCTCCCTGATTGATTTGAAGGCAGTAATCATACTAAATTATCCTCAAACACATAGAGAGCCCCTACACATATTTTCTTTTCAATCTAAAGGTTCATTTTTGTTTTCTCTCCAATGCTTTTGCTAAGAGGGCAAGCTTTGGGTTTTCATTCCTTGATCCTTACAACACTAGGAAGGTTGAGTACAGAATCATACTTTACCTGGTGACTGTATACATTCACCCGTGTTTTGAGGTGTAGTAATAAGATGTTCATGATGTGTCGGACTCACAGTTGGCTGCCGGACTTGGGTGTGATTGGGGGGTTGCGATGGTGTGACTTTCTTGACAATTCTAATTGAATTTCTCAATCTCCTACGCCTTCCCATGAATGATGAGATTGATCTGCACTACAGAAAATTTCAACTACAGAGTCAAATTAAAGTCTGACCAACAATCCACCAAGCAGAACTCTAAGGTGAATAAACTGTGACCAACAACCATGCCCCTCACAAGCATTTCATCAAACACTTTGAGCGCAAAAATAATAAGACTTATAATCAACCAATCCTCAAAACCCCACAACCCACAAATTCCACAACAACAATAATCCAAAACCACACAGGATCAACATAATTGGCACAAAAATCAAACCCATATAGAGAGCAATCTTGATTATCAGGGCAATTAATGTAAACGGAAACAAGATTCTCACCTAAACAGACAAAGCTTATAGCACACTGTTGAGGAGAATGCGTCGGGTGGGAAGAAAAGAGTAGAAATCGTGATTCTTGGTTTCACGCTTTCGGATTAAGCAGATAAGAGGTGGACACGGAAACTGTGTTCTTTTTTTCTTTTCTTTTTTTAATATTTATGGGAAACCGAATGCTGGATAATGAGTGAGATAAAAAAAAAAAAAGTGAGACTAAAATAGGTAATATGGGTTTAAGTGTACAGAAATTATTATTTAGGGGATTTGTTAAAAAAAAAAAAAAACCTAGAAAGAGCCTCTATGTATATATTAGGTGTGAGATCCTCTTCCCTACCCCTCCCACGCGGCAGCAGCAATTTTTGGCCAAATCAAAAAACCCATTACAATAGGTATGAAATTCAATGAAGCAAAATAATATTTTTACTCTTAAATATATTATTACTGATGTTTTATAGTTTTGGTTATTTTTAGTTATGAGAAAAGGAAAGCTATTGAATAAAAAACTCAAGGATGTCAATTCACAAACAAAATCAAAACGCCAAGGGCAAACTGGTGATGAGCATCAAACTTTAACTCCGACTCATGTTGAGCACACACAATCACAACTCGAGGATCCGATTCAAATGGAGCATAATTTTCCCTCTCCCATACATTCCGATGATGAAGTTCCTTCCCAACATCAGCAATTGCTAGACGAAGAAATTGGGCATTCACTAAGTATAATAAAATTCTATACCCTACACAATAATTTCAAATTGATCATTATCGTTTTATATTTTTTTAACGATTTATTCTTATGTTTCTTTGGAAGGGAAAACTCAACAAAAAAAGTTTCGTGGTCCCACTTTTATGCCTGATTTGTGTGAAATGCCAACCGAGGAATGTATTCTGGTCGAATTAAATGATTTCGGCCAACCCATCGGAGAGGAAGCATGTTCCCTCACGCGATTCATAGGGGTCTTAGTTAGACCACGCACATATGCTCCGATAGACATTAAATCTTGAAAAGAAATGCCGCAAGAATATAGGCATGCGATGCTGACTTTGATTGAGGTAATTGTTTTATATTAGTATTCATTGTTTTAGTTAACTTGCAGATGGTACAATTATTTTATTATTTATTGTTAACTGCAGTCTAAGTTTCAATTTACGCCACATCCCTTTGAAGCAGCGAAAACGTGGATCCTTAGGGACATGGCTAATAAATGGAGGTAATGGAAAAGATATTTGAAAGAGAAAGCCTATGATCCGACTAAGAGTAGGAAGGAGATGGCAAAGAACATTCCTGATACTCGAGTTGATAAAAAACAATATAGGAAGCTTGTTAAATATTTGTGCAATAAAAAAGCAAAAGTATTTATGTTTTTGAATGTTTGATTATATAATATTATTATTATTATTATTATTTCGGCCGGATTACTGAATGTTGTTGGCTTTTGTCATTCCTTCTTATAATGAAGGGCTGATTTAGAACTATTGAATTCTTTCATTTGTTCCATCACGTGTTGGATGTGTTTGTTCATAGGAAATTAGTAAACAAAATAAAATCAATCGCTCCAAATATAAGGATCTCCATC